AATAGTGCATCTTGAAACATATTATCCAGACCATCCATTTTCAAGATTTTCATATATTTATAGATCTACTTGATTTTAACGATTTTTGGAGTTTAAAATTATTAGATATAAAAATATATTTTTCCAGTAATCCTAATATTTTACACCAAAATTATATGTTGGGATAAAATTTGGAGGTGCGTCGTAATTGGATCGTAAGGTTGCAACCTTATAGAAACCTCACCATTAAGTATTGTTTGAGCTAATATTAAATATCAATTAATAGCACTAAATTTTTTTAGCAAATTAACTTAGTAAATTTACCAATAAATTCCACTTAGTAATTTCAACAATAAATTTTTTTTGACTCGGACACAGCTAACACGACCTTATCATTCTACCTAGGCTAGTAAAGTAGACATTATCGGTACTAGTGATTAAAAATTGGTTGCTGCGATCTGGAATCGGATGATCCAGATCGAGTATTGGTGGCACCCATCCGGTTCCATCAAAAAAACAATATCCGGGCGTTTTTTCACCATAACTCGTTCGATGGGCGTTGTTTTCACCATACTCGTTCGATGACGTAATTGATCAGTGGTTTCGTCCAAAATCGTACAAGGAATCATCAAATTTACACGTGAACTGCTCAAAATGGGCTTAATGGATCAGCGAGTTCATCCAAAATCATACAAGGTATCGCCGAGTTCACACGTGAACTACTCAAAATGGGCCCACATATAATAACTGGCACGTGCATTGCTCAGCATGCGCAATCACGATTGATAATGCAGTGAGCTTTTGGATTTTTATAAAGCTTGACACGCCTTAAACGGTCGCACTTTTTTTGTGTTAACGCTAAAACGTAATTTGGACAATTGGATGATGGTACGTGTACAGAAATTGGGCTTGAGTTTCCAAATGATAACGATCTTGTCCTCAATTTATGAGAGATAGAGATTAAAATGCCTCTCTTTTTTCACAAATATTTTTTATTTTATTTATAAAAATTATTCAAAAGAAATTACACAAGAGGAAATAATTAGAGCTGGCAAAAAGGCCCCTCCTTTAGCAAGAAAGTTAGCTAAAGAATTCATTTCACTATAGACATGACAGAATGAGACTGACAATGGGGCCACCAGATCCATAATCTGCACCCAACAAGACCTCAGTTCTTATGGAATACGTTGCTCCTTCTTGCACCATTTAATTGCGTTTAAAGAGTCTCCTTCAATAATGCAACATCTTCCAAGATTTCTATAGGAAATTTCAATCCTTGCAAAATTGCCATTAACTCAGATTGGTTAACCGTGGCTTATACCAACTGGGCTAGCATATGAAAAGATGACCTCTCCAAAACAACCATACACTACACCCCCAATGCCAGCCAAACTTGGATTACGCTGAGAGCTCTCATCAAAGTTTAACTTAAACCCACCACTATCTGGTGCCACCCAAGTAGTTCTTGGTCTCATCTTTACTATTTCCATAAAATAAAAATTTGGTAAATTTAATAGAACATCTGATTGTGAAATCGTCCAACCTTCCTTAGTAACCGAGAACCAAGACCAAATAGACAATTTGATTTGACTTAGTAATCTATCAAAAGATAAACCCTCAACTTCAAAAGTCCAATTTGATTTTAGTTAGCAATCTATCAAAAGATAAACTCTCTCCTTCAAAAGTCCACTTATTTCTTTCTTTCCAAAGTTCACAGAGAGTAGCCCCTCTTGCTATTTGCCACACTAGAAGGTAAATGATGAAAGACTCACTGTGACACTAAACCCACAAAGATTAGGGTAGAGAAGTATGAACTCCAAATAGCTCAAATAACCAATACAAAATTCTAGAAGCAAATGGGTGGTGGATAAGAAGATGCTCACCATCGCTTTCAACTTCCCAAATCAATTCATCCAATGCTCTTTGAGAAATATAAACTGAATCCAAGACTCCCATTAATTCACTCCATTAAAGATAATTATTTTCACTCAGTCTATTGTATGAGAAATTAATACTCCCTGAGAAATATAAATCGAATCCAAGACTCCCATCAATCACTCCATTGACGATAATTATCTTCACTAAGTCTATTGTATGAGAAATTAATACTCCAAGCAGTACGATTATCTCTCAATTCACTTCAACCATATCAGAAACCTTAGCAAAAAGTTCTGGATATGTAAGTTTATGGTCCTTGATGTCTATAAAAATCCTTGTTTGTAGAGAAATTAGACACATATAATTCTCCATTCACTGGCTCAATTTGTTTTTAAACTTTAAAGCTTAAACTAAAAAAAGGACAAAGAAACTAGGAGAAAATTTCTTAAAAACACTAAAACGTATTAATATATTCTAATATTAATATATCATTTTTTATTAATCATATTTATTATTTATCATATTAATATATCATGTTTTTTATTAAGATGGATCATATGGATATAAGAAGTAATATATGAACATATTATCATTATACATTAATAACACAAATATTGCAAGTTAGTAATTAATTATTTACATTGTAAAATACATAATGTATATAATTTTTATTACAAATTTTAATAATAATTTTTCTATAGATCACCGATCCGCTGATCTAACATGCGTATGGCCGTATGGGTGAGGACAATTTAGGTCGCCCTCCGTTTTTTAAACCTTGGTCGATACAAAGTTGGAGATGATTTATGTGTACGGTTTTTGGGCGGTTACAGTAGAAACTCGTCTGAGTAGTGTAGAACTCGGACCTGTTTCTAGAGCACCCGGATGAGTTGGTATAAAGGCCAACTAGTGCTGCTGAGATATCCTCAACTTCAACTTCTTCTTTCAATCCCATTTATACCATCTACATCTTTTGTCTTGGATAATTCAATCACTCCTTTTGAGCAAATCCAGATATTTCAAATCCTATTAGATATGGAGAGCACTACACCATAATGATTTCACCACTTAAATAACATGTCCAAAATACAATGATTTCAACACTCAAATAGCATGCCCAATATACAATAACAAGCGCAGTATAATTGAGAAAAATATAAAAACAATATGATAAATCATCAAAGCACAACACAAATTAAAGTAGAGAGGGACACAAATATATACGTAGTTCACCCAAGATGGGCTACATCCACAGGCAAGACGGCAAAGATATATTCATTATTAAGAGGAAAACTTATAAGATTGGGGTTATATAGCTTTACCTTATACAATCTCAAGATAAGCTCAAACAAAAAAATTTCCTACTACAAAACTACCTAGAATCGACTCCTTTCTTCGATTCATCGATACCACGAAGAAATGCCGACGAAATGGCCCAAGATGAGCCCCAAGTGATGGTGTTAGGATTTTGTTGCAAAACCCCCAATTTCCAACTCAAGTTCTCTCTAAAAGTTCACTTTCTCCCTCACTCACCCACATCCTTACTCTATTTATCAAAACCTTTTTGAGTCTCCACTAAAAAATGTTTATTTTTAGTGACAAAAATACCTTTTAATAAGAGCGAGAATACCATAGAGTCATAAGGTGTGATCGTTGCGTCACATCCCAATATCTCTCTATCTTCATTCAATCCCATTTCTCCGAATTTTCCACCCCTGCAGCTCTCTATATAACGAGACTCATAAGGAAAACACACAGGGTCTTGTCATGTCTCTTTCTACTTTTTCTTTTTCTTTTTATTTTACTTTATTAATATATGGGAGTTGTTTACTTTGAGACCATTTTTTTTTTATTATCTTTTTTAAAGTAGGTCAAATTGCTTTGGGCCATTAGATGTTAAATTGGATAGTTTGGGACGTGTCATAAAGTTTAAAAATTATTATTTTATTTATTTTTAATTTTGAATCTAATTAATGATACCCTTATGGCCAGAATTAGATAGACAATAGTGCTTGTGACCTCGACCTCCTTGCATGAAAAGGGAATGGTCTCTTTGTATACTTTTTCTAATATATATATACTCAAACAAGTTCATGCTCAAGTAGCTCATCTCGGGCTGTGTTCAAGGCCCGAGGGTCTCGATGCACTTGTAAACATGAGCTAGATTAGATATCTGTAAAGTATTAGTGATAAATGTGTAGAACCTAGACATATATGATTTATTTAAAAATATACTGATAAGCCCCTGTAAAAATCTGACAAGCTATTTATGTAATGCGTAAAATCTGATATCTTCGAATTTCTATAAATTTGTTAGTAAAATTTAGAAACAAGGCCGAGTAATGTAGAACTTCGCCTTGTTTACACATTTCTCATTTTTAACCTCATTTAGATTTTTTTTGTTTAATTTTATTTTAAACATATTTTTGAAATTTTTAGTATTTTTATTTTTATTTTTATTTTTTAACACTTTTTGGCCTGGCTAAACCTTACCTGACTCAGGCCAAATTACTCAGCTACTCGAGCTCGGCCCATGGCTGAGTTCCATCCCGCAATCGTGTTTTCAACCACTGCTGGGAAAGCTATAACAACCAAGAAAACAGGAGAAAAACATGAGCCTTTCTCCTAATTTCTCAGAAGCAAACAAGGCCTAATGTAACTAGAGCACCTTTTCATTTTTTATTTTCCAAGCTTGAATAATACCTTCACAGCTCATTCTATCCCTTAAATTCTTTTTGTCGAAAGAAACATTTACATCCTTCACAATGTTGCTCAAGAATGTCATATTAGGATGTTAGTAGGTGCCACCGTAATTCTCTTTTCTTTTTTTTCCCTTTTTTTTTTTTTTCTTTTTTCTTTTTTTTTCCCTTCTTTTTCTTCTTCTTTAGGTAGGTCAGCTGTTGAAATCAAAAAACATAATTTTCTCAACTTTATGACAAATTGCACATCAAATCATGCTGGACAGGTGCCCTTTTCCCTTGGACATTCCTGGATTTAGCTATTGTCTCTTTGCCTTACATGCTGAATATTTTTTGAGTGCAGACCAAACTTTCCTTAGAAGACAAACCGGAATTCGCATTTGATTAAGATGGGAGCAGTAAAGATTCCTTATTGTCTATAAAGTGTTCAAAAACTGTAAGTCTTTGAACATTTATTTTTGAAAAAATTGAGCATTATCTAAATGGGTCTAAGTATTGAAATGCAATTGCTTTTAGTCCTAAGTTTGTCTTTGATTCCCAATTTTGAGGCTCAGCTTGAGGTGGGTTTCTATAGCCAGAGATGCAGCCCTGCGGAACGCATTGTCAAGGATGCAGTTAGAAGTGCAGTCAGTAACGACGTTGGACTGGCAGCCGATCTCATCCATATGTATTTCCATGATTGTTTCGTTCGGGTGAGTAAAATTCTGAAATGGAGGGCAAGTTTATTTCTTAGGAAAGAACCCTCTGATGGAAGTTTTCCAGATGGGTTACCGCTTTCCCATGTTTGTTTCATAGGAAAGGAGGACACACAGCAGGGCATGGGAAAGTGTGTTCCCCCTTGTAAACTATCACCTATGCATTTTCTTATGAAATTGGCTTCATGTCTATCTAGTTGTGAAAGCACTTTCCCATGTGATGGAAATTTGTTCTTGGATGAACTCTGCAGAAAGAGCTTTCCGACAAAAAAAACTTGTCCCAGATGTCATTATATTTCTCACAGTGATTTTTCTCAATGAAAGATCACATGTCCAGCCAGGTTGTGTCGTGTTTTTTATTTCGTATGTGCCGAAATAATTACGATGATGTTTTATTTTAATCTATAATACCTGACCTGGAAACTTATGGTGATACCTTCACAGTGCTAAATTGCAAGTCTTTTTTATTTTTATTGGTTTGGGCTTTTAGGATCAGGATGCTAGTTCATTGTGACCCGTGTCAGAATGCTTAACTTGGCCACAGGACTGGCCTTTGGCCAAGCTGAGTTAATCGGACTAGGCCTAAGTTACTTGTCCACATTCAGCCAAGCCAAGAAGTGTTAAAAAAAATTAAAAATACAAAAAACCTTAACAAAAGGAAAAATATAGTTAAAGCAGAATTAAATAAAACATCTCTAGATGAGGTTTAAAAAGGTAGTGAAAAAGTGGGTTTTGAAAAAGTCGGTATTTTGGAAATAATTCAAAATGAAGGAAAAACATAAAAATAAATAATGGCCAAAACAGTTTCCAATCTTTGTTCAAATGATAGAAAATATTTTTCAAAAAAAATATTACAAATAATTTTTTATTTTTTTTGGATTTTTTATAATGTTTTTGAATTTTATAAGATCCCCGAGTCCCCGGGGGATACTTGGACTCACCAGGGTGGGTCGCCCGAATTCTCCTTCACTGATTGAGACTATTTTTGCCTTGAATCACATTTTCCTCTACCTCAATAACACTTTTTGTTTGTGTGTGTGAGAGAGAGACTGAGTGAGTATAGATGTGTGTGTCTGGTCTTTATATATGTGACACTGTGTTGGTGTAAATGTGTGTGGGTCTGAGAGAGAGTTTCGTTTAAGCGACTTATTACTGGTTTAGGGTTGTGATGGTTCAATTCTCATCGATTCGAATTCAACGAACACAGCAGAGAAGGATTTCTTTGCAAACAAAATTAGCCTTCGGAGTTTCGGAGTCCTTGATTCGGCAAAGTCGAAGTTGGAGGACATGTGCAAAGGAGTAGTTTCGTGTGCAGATATTCTTGCATTTGCTGCTAGAGATGCCGCAGAGATGGTAGGGACACAATTTTAGATATTTCTTGAGCCTGGTAATAAGCTTCACCATCAAAATTTCTAGTAACTCACAATTTTCATTGGTAAGTTGTGAACATGTCTTTTTCTTTTTGTGGCTTGAAGCATGACCATCCTTTTTTTTTAAGTGAAGTCTAGGTTGGAGGTCATTTTCCCTGGTTTTAATCATAGTGACAGCAATTCTACCAGTGATTTGACATTTTTTTGTTTTTTTTTTTAATTCAACATGTTTTCTTTTTTATTTTCAAAATTCCAGGTAAAAAGTATGTACTTTTCTTGCGTAAGTTTTTTAAACAAGAAAACTTTAAATATAAATATATTTTAAAAAGAAAAGCTATCAATAGCTTGTTTGACACCTATAATAAATAGTAATTTAGGTAGAATATCAGCCGTCAAATTTTGGTTCAAAATGCATATTATTATTTTAATTTTAATTTTTTTAAAATCGGATCGTAATGAATTTTTGGGCATGTGTACTAAAAAAAAGGCGCAAAAGAAAAATATAAACAAATATTTTTTAAATATAAAATAACCAAAACATCCTTAAATATAATAGGGGTGATTTGGTCATTTTAGATTCTTGAAAGTATTTTTTTTATATTTTTATATTGTGGACGCTGGTGTCAAGTATATATGTCCAAACTTTTATATTAATCAGATTTCTAGAAAAAAAAATATTAAAATTCAAAAGATGATATGTATTTTGAACCACATAATGAAGATTTAACAATTAAGCCTAAACATTTTTTTTTTGGCATAAGAACTTTTAACTTTTCATCCTTACATCTTCTTTAACAGGTTGGAGGGATTGGTTGGGATGTCCCTGCTGGAAGGAGAGATGGAAGGATTTCATTAGCCTCAGAAAATCTGGCAAATTTACCTGCACCCACGTTTACGGTTCCTCAACTAACTCAACTTTTCTTAAGCAAGGGACTAACACAAGAAGAAATGGTTACCCTCTCAGGTAAAAATCAAGATGAAGAATCTACTCAACCTATAAAATCAAATTTCGTTTTTTTCTTGGGATCGGAAATTCAAGTTAGTGATAGCATTATCCAAATGCGATGAAATGACCAACTCGATTCTACATAGTCAAAATTCCCTTCTTGCGTTATTGTTTCCATAGTTGCGCCAAACTCAAAAGTCTATGAAAATTAAAGGTGGCAATGTGATGGGTGGCCCAGCCAAGCCTGGTCAGCCCTGAGCCTGTTGGAGTCCCTTTGGCCATGCATGACCTGACCCATTTTTATACAGAGTTTTTAAAAATGTGAGTTGTAATAGATCTGGTTTGGCTTGACCAGTCCATTAATAGGGTTGGGCCAAGCCACCTTGCCAAGTATCTGGCCCAAGCCTAAAGTGTTTTAGGTTGGGCCCCACCTCATCCCTAGCCTGACCCATTGCCACTTACTCAAAGGTTAAAATAAATAAATAAATAAATAAAAAGAAAAAAGGACAAAATAAGAAGATGAACAAAAGTACTATAAAGCAAACCTCTACAAAACTACAGAGCCAATAGTTATTATGGAGGTCAATTAATAATAAATAAATAAAATAAATAAATAAATAAATAAAAACAAAGAAGAAAAAGAAGAAAGAGGAAGAGGGAGAGAAAACCAAGGATTCTGAAATAAAGATTAATGCCGAAGTAAAAAATTTAACAACATTAGAAAGGAGAATCATTGTCTCAAAGTTCGTTTTTCATCATTTAAAACTATCCAAAAATGAAAAAGAATAATAACAATAGAAGAAGATAGTCTATAATAAAGCATATGTAGAATACAAAGTGTATGCTACTTGTAGTCTCCACATTCCTAGACGATTGAGATGAACCATTTCGCTACTTGAGCAGCAGTGGATAAGCAATTCATCCCCATTTAGCCACACCATTCTGTTCAGATGGTGCCTTGATGGGGACCTACATGTAGCATACAAAGCGTTTGCATGTGGTATGATAGGCTTTTCCCTAACTGAAACTTAAATTTTGTTAGCCGACGAGTCATACTAATCGGTTACATGGAAATCCTTAAAGCAAATATGATTTTTAATAGTAAAAAGTCCATTTAATGACGAATTAGGCACTATTAAGTTTGTGTTGAGAAGGCATTTGGATTATTTATCAGGATATCATTTGTGATTTCTCTGTTGCATGTGAAATGTAGGAGCTCATACAATAGGGCGTTCACACTGTACTTCATTTAGCAACAGATTGTTCAATTTCAGCTCAACCTCAAGCCAAGATCCAAGTTTAGACCCTAGATATGCGACCCAACTGAAATCCAAGTGCCCAAAGGGGAATACAAACACAAATTTGGTGGTCCCGATGGACCCTTTGAGTCCAACAGTTCTGGATAATGCCTATTACAAGAACATTCTAGCCAATCGTGGGCTATTCACCTCAGACCATGCTCTTCTCAGTGATCCTTCAACATCAAGCCAAGTGAGTGAATATGCAGCGAATGTGTTCCTTTGGAGGACCAAGTTCGGGGCAGCAATGGTGAGGATGGGTCAAATTGGTGTCCTAACCGGCAATGCCGGAGAAATACGTCGGAATTGTAGGGCTGTCAATTGAGCTATGTGTGTGGGTCATCTACAGCCTACTTTTGCTTTTAATCATCATGACTGGTTTGATTTTCTTTTATATGGTTTGGATTAATGCATGGGTGCATACCCATCTGAATGTAGATTTTTAAATGTTTAAGAAAATGAATGTAGATTTTTAGATGTTTAAGAGAATACATCCATCAAAACAGTTATGTGCTAAACACGGGGAAGTCACCACACTACACAAAGTATGCCAAGGAAATACTACATGTTGCATCTTCTTCATTGCTAACTGTGGACATTGCCGTTCTTCTGTCGATCCCCACTAAGAGGAGGGAAGAACGATTCATGTCCATTTGCACCATTGAAGACCATGTTTATAGTTTGTATATTAGGATGCATTTCAGATACAATACTATAACATATTGAATTAAATAAGGAAAATGTTTTGATAGGGTTGCAGCCCATTAAAAAAAAAAGTAAAGCCTCACCTCAAAACTTACTGAAATAATAGTTTTGGCATCAAAAAACCTTCAAACCTTGACCATTACGGTTGTGAAAAAAGTTTAAGATTTCAAGCCCTAAAAATAGTATATATTATAACACATTATCTAGACCGTCCATTTTTTCCTAAAAATAAATATTCATGGATTTGCAAGATCTATACAATTTTGTAAGCTAGAGTTTACATAAGTGGTGGAAATTGATTTTTGCGCCGTCATATAGATTTTCCATGCCAAAAGCATTCTTCGGATGAGGTTTAAAAAATGATGCTTTACTCTTTTTTTTTCATAAGGCTTAGGCCTTATATAGACTACGTCTATGAAAGAAAGGCACATGTCTACTATGGGGGTATAGTATAGTAAGGGAATGCAGAATATAGCAGTTGTCCAGCGGTTTGTGGATAAGCATGACAGTGACTGACTGTTGGGTCTAAGTACCTAGCACAGAATTCATATGAATTATCCTTCAAGTAAATTAAATTTCCTTTAGACCATTCTCAGCTCTAACTCATAAATATGGGATAGATATAAATTCTATAAAGTACAGACTTTCTAAAAAACCTGGGTTAATATTATACATGCCGACCCATAGCCTAACACTATAACAACGGGATCTTTAGGACCTAATTTTTTTGAAGTTCTTTTTATTCCTTGTGATCGATTTTACAAAAAAAATAAAAATAAAATAAATTTAATTTGAGTTCTTAAAAGCCTATATCTAATCATCAAACTAATAGACAGTCCACAATCAATACTGGAGCAAGAATTGATTTGAAGCATGTTTTTTACCTCTCCATGTCATTTTTTTGTACTAAATTAATCTTAAATAATAGTGAGGAAATGATTAAGTCTGTACATAAAAATGTCATCATCATCCAAGCTTTATCCCAATTATTTGGGATTGGCTACAAAAATCTTATTATTCTATTTTTCTCTATCAAAGGTCATACCCTCAGTAAGATCAAAAGTCACCATATCTTTTCTCGCTACTTCTATCATGGGCCTTCCCGTTGCCTTTTTAGAGCCTTCCATCTGAACCAAATCACACCTCCTAATCGAAACTATACTAGGTCTATAGTACATGTGCCCAGCCCACCTAAATCTACTTTCCATCATCTTATCGTTCATTGAAGTCACACCTAAGTTCCCTCGTATATATTCATTTTGAATTTTATCTTTTCTTGTCTTGCCACATCCATCTCAGTTACACTCATCCTATGGATATGTTGTTCATTGACCTCCAGTATTTTGTCTCATAAAACGTGGTTGATATTATAGTCGTCCTATAGAACTTCCCCTTCAGTCCTAATGGTATGCGGCAATCACATAAAACTTCAAGTGCACGTCTCTACTTCACCCACCCAACTCTAATTCTATGTGCTACATCGTCCTCAGGTATCACTGCAGGGGAACGCCTAGCATAAGCATATAACACATGATAAGATATGGTAAAGTTTTGCGCTAGCTACCTACCTAATGCAACCCACCTCATTTACCCGAGCTTGAGGTAGGTTAGAGGAAAGTTTACAGTCCTCACCCTTATTAGAACACATCCGTACATAAAAACAAATAGGAAAATATGGAAAGGTCCATATTTTCCTAAATATAATGTGGAGGTCTATCGCCCATACATTTTTTCTATTTTTAGAATTTGCCTCTTGGTCCAATGTTAACCAACACTGGACCGGTTCTATTTTGTATTTAGTCTTTTCTGGAACATAGGGTTGTGACCTATGTTTTAGGTCATTTAGGACCAGTTCGATGTGTAAAACATCGGAGTGCCCCAAAGTTCCAGTTGATTCAATGTGGGTAACATCAGACATATCATGTTTTTTTCCCACCAAAACCCGCACAGGGGGTTGATTTGTTTTGTTGCATACTTCCTCTCTCGGTCCTTAACCCTCAAGTGGCCAAGCCCCCACTAATGATTTCTGGCAAACACAACAGGATACTGGCGAGATTATTTAATTTAATTCAATATTCAAAAATATTTTGGAAATCTCAAACCTACATTTTTGGAACTAGGGCTTTTCAAAATTGCACTTGTCATATTTGTTTGCATTTTTAGGTTTTGTTGTAGGGCTTCTATCATTTTTAAGAGCTCCTCGAAATACTTGTAAGAAAATTTGAGGAAACCCTAAATATCTTGGATTTTTTTAATATATAGGGTTTTAGCCTTCTATCATTTTTCTTCACTGTCATTTATCTGTAAAGTAGGCAAAATTGGAGGAAGAGGAAGGGTTGAATAATAGGATATAAAATGATCGGGTCTTGGTGAAATTATAAATTGTTGAAAACCGAATATTGTTATTTTTAAGGATTTTTAAAAATAACTTAAATTCTATGTTTCATTTTGAAAAAACATTAGATTCTAAATATTCGGCAATAGAAGGAAAACGAATAATAAAACCATTAGTATTTATAAAGTTTCTAACTCATAAACATTATTTGGATACTTAGGGAAATGGACTTTATAAACTAGCCTAGAAAGGTAGCAACACTATCTGGTAAGTGAAAAATACATTGACATTATTGTAGCATATATGGCTCTTGGTAACAATTTTGTATCTTTTATCTCTATGTAAATAATAAAAGCTTCATTTATAAATTCATCATTTAAACAAAGAGAAAATTAGGGCGTACAAAATATTTATCAAAATAACTTCTAAATTGACGTAATTATCCTAAGCAACATGCTTAAGATTTAACAATGACACTAAATATTATGCTTTCAAATTATAGTTAAAATGTCGATGAACTAAGATTCAATTTGCCTATTGTGATTATATTGATACTTTTTACTCTTCCACTTTTTAATTTCATCTTTTAAAAAATGGTAAAGGTGCCACACTGTCAAAAGAAAAAGTGAAGATCAAAAATTTTACATGGTTCAACATTGGGCCTACATCCACGAAGAGATTGTACTTTATTTCTTGTCATACTTTCTCTAAGTACAATCATACATATATATAGAAGAGCCATGGCTATTACACCTCAATCATGCTATAAAGAGAAGGCAAAGAAAGAGGAAACTGTAAAGAACAAGAAGGAAAGTAATAGGGGCAGCAAGGGACAGCTCAAGCCAGCCCAACCACTTTCCATATCTTTCAACATTCCATTTCTTCCAATACTCCACCGAAAGTTGGAGCGTACAGATTAATAAATGCCAACTTAGACAATATTTCAAGAAATTTATCACACCCAACAGCTATATCTGCCACTTGGTCTTTACTTTGAATGCATGGAGTTGCAATTACTTTGGATTGAACTTTTTCTCGTACAAAATGACAAGACTTCGATATGCTTAGTTCTTTTGTGAAAGACCGGATTTGATGCTATGTGGATGGCTGCCTGGTTGTCACAAAACATATTTATGGGAGAGGAACATTGAAGACCAAGATCTCGAAGAAATGACTTGATCCATACAAGCTCACATGCCGTGAATGCCATTGCACGATATTCTACTTCAGCACTCAAACGAGCTACAACTGATTGTTTTTTGCTTTTCCATGTTACTAGGTTGCCACCTACAAAGGTACAATACCCAGTGGTAGATCTTCTATCAGTTTGGCTACCTGCCCAATCAACATCACAAAAAGCGATAACTTGAGTATGACCATTTCTTCTATCCAAGTGATGATTTAAGGTACCTTAATATCCTTTCTACAGCATCCATGTGAGAAGTTCGAGGAGCGTGCATAAATAGGCTTACTAGACTGACAGCAAATGTGATATCAGGCCTGGTTATTGTGAGATAAATCAATTTCCTGACAATTCGTTGATACCTGCCAATATCTTGTAAATGATCACCATTTTCCTCATTAAGTTTGAAATGTATATCAACAGGAGTTTCTATTGGTTTAGCTCCTAGTTTACCGGTTTGTCTTAACAAATCAAGAGTATATTTCCTTTGTGAAACAAACAATCCTTTTCGAGAGTGAGCGACTTCAATTCTTAGGAAGTATTTCATTATTCCTAGGTCTTTAATGTCAATGACTTAGTGGAGGTGACTTTTGAGTGTTGATATCCCTTGCAAATCATCTCCAGTGAGGACAATATCATCAACGTAGACTAAAACAATCACTATTCTTGAAGGCCCCTTTTTTATAAACATTGAGGAATCAACAAAACTTCTCTGAAATCCTTTTTTTAAAAGGGAAGTACTAAGCTTAGCATACCAGGCCCTAGGTAATTGTTTTAGACCATAGATAGCTTTTTGTAGTTTGTACACCAAATCTTTTATTCCTTCAAGGGGATGACTTTGAGGAATATTCATATATACTTCTTCCTCAAGATTTCCTTGGAGAAAGGCATTTTTAACATCTAGTTGAAATAGATGCCAATTTTTGGTAGCAACAAGAGAAAGTAACACTCTAACCAAATTCATTTTAGCAACCGGAGCAAAAGTTTCTTTGTAGTCTTCCTCTTATTTTTGAGTAAATCCTTTTGCTACAAGTCTGACCTTATACCTTTCTACAGATCTATCACTCTTGAATTTGGTTTTATAAATCCATCTACAAGCAACAATTTTTCTTTCATTTAGGTAACTTGACAAGATCCCAAGTTTTATTCTTGTCAAGTGCTTGAAGTTCTTCATCCATTGCCTTTTTTCGAACAGTTTGGGTAAGAGATTCTTCAAAGTTTACAGGTTCATAAGTGGAAGAACTTGAACTTAGGAAAGAGGCATAT